GGCGCGGCGAACGAGAATCGAACCGGGCCTTCCCATCACGAAGCGAGCGCCATACTACTAGGCTACCGTGGCCAGTTCTGTACATTTGTAAAATATGTACAATGATATAGGACAATGTATTTAGAGGTCTAGGTCAATACGTCTCTATATTTAATCCTTTTATACATTTTTTTTCTTTTCTATCCTCGATCTTCATTAAGCTTCGTTTTTGTTTTCTCCTATAGAATTTACATTTGTTATAAATTAAGTCGCATATGCATGACATTTTACGGGATTAATAAGTGCAATTTCCTTCTTTCCTATATTTTTTTCCTCAATTAATTTTTTTTTATTTTTTATCGCGGCCGAGATTCGAACTCACGACTTCCCGATCACAGAGCGAGCCCTCTACCGACTGAGCTACCGTGAACGGTTGAGAGAGAGAGAGAGGGAGGAGTCTAACTAACCAACGATAGACTACTTATGCAAATCTAATCTCTTTTCCTTTGTTTATTATTTTTTCATCATATGTCCTTGAAATAAAAACAAAGGAATGTGTATATGTTGATCATTCATACCTATATATAGAAATATATATTTTATGTAAAATAAACAAATAGTTGTTTTATTCATGTGGAATTTATTATGTGCATTACATTTGCTTCAAAAAGGTATATATATATATATATATATATATATACATATATATATATATATATATATATATATATATATATATATATATATATATATATATATATATATATATATATATATATATATATATATATATATATATATATATATATATATATATATATATATATATATATATATCTTAATATGCTATCGACATATTCAGTTGTTTAAGTGTCCTGAACTCTGAACACTAAATAGCTCTAGCTGCAACGCAGCTAGGTTAAGGACTTCCATGTGGTAGAGCTCATGAATATCACGTGACTTAGCTCCGCCCATTTTTATAATTATTCATGAGAAAACTTTAATACGTGTTTTATTTTTATATACTTATTTATCTATACTTTAAAGATTTGTTTTGTATGGTTTCTTATAAATGTTATTTGTTTGTTTCGTTTTGATCGCTAAATCAGCTCCATAAATGTATTTTCTATGAAATTACCGAATGTCGTTTGGAGCTGATCTACGTCGGCTCGGCGCTTTCACCGTCTCGTCACGACTGGGGCTGGCAGGTGCGTGGGAAAAGCTTGTTTCTTCCAGTGTCTTGATGGAATTTACAACAAAATTGTTGCCTGACATGATGGTAGATGCCTAATATTTGCAGGACAGAGTTTCATTGTAAGTTTACAATTTCATTTAGACTGTTATACCGTGATGAAATGCGTAATTTTAAGAAAATTCGCCGGAATATTGTTACAGACCACGTGGTTCATATTCTTTTTGAGGGTTCTTCTTTTAAAAAGAAGTTGTATGATTTCTTTATAGTGTGATAGCATATACTGTACATTTTAGTTATTGCATAAAAGAAGATGAAGTGATATTTCGTGTTATTATAATACTCCGAACACTCAAGTTTATCATCATTGAAAAAGTTTTAAATACTGGGGCCCCATATGGGAAGTCACAGGAGTTCGCAATTTTATCAATTCACTCGATTGACCAAGTCATGAGCTATGCGTTAGCATAGCGAACAGGAATGCAACTGTTCGCTATGCTAACGCATAGCTCATGGCTTGGTCAATCGAGTGATTTTTATTGACTTTATTGATAAAATTGCGAACTCCTGTGGGGAAGTCTAGTTTTGTAGGATTCTGCACAAGATTAGCATTTATTGTTGCACTTTAAATGAAATACCCCATGGGAGTCTGAGATTCACTGTACTGATGGTGCACAAGAGCACAAAAATATGAACAAGTGCAACTCTAAAAAAAAAAAAATGAAATTTTAAGTAACAACAACTTGAACAAGCACTGTTTTATATGGATATATATATATTTTTTTGGTGTGTGTTTCAGCATCAATTTCAATTGTTTATAACTGAAGTCGCACATTGACATTATAAAACATGTTAAAGCTTTAATACACAATATTTTTATTTCATGTTTCACAAAGAGTACTGCATTATTTTATTAATGTCAAATATAACTTCTTGTTATACCTTTTAAAAAAAAGTTTCTCTATACCAATCTATGCTTAAAAAGTCTATCAATTGCAATGTTTTACTGAGCGATTAGAAAAAAAAGATGTTTGACCGCAGAGTTAGATATTGGAACGCTTACGTCACACAATGTGCTGAATGATAGCTAAATCTCATTTGCATTTATTGGAACAGTAACGGAATTGACCGAGTGTAACATTAGTTTACATCACGGAAGCTAGAACATACATGTACTGTATGTCAAAAAGAATCAAAATAAATAAAAGGTATAACAAAACATTTATTGACTGAGTTCTTGGGCAAAGTGCATTTTATCAACCCTCAAACCAAACTGTTCTCCTTCAGCCTAATGGCCTCAGGCAAACAGTTTGGTTCTTGGTTAAATAAAAAGCATGTTGACCTTGAACCCTGTCAATAAATGCGTAGCATTTGGGGGGTCCAATGTTCTTGTATTTTACAGGTCATGCTTATCCATGAACCTACATCCTGACAAATATAATAATAATATAATAATTAATATTTATACATTCAATTTTATTAAATCTGCTGAATACAGGAATTTTCCACTGCCCCATTTAGGGCCAAATTTATGTCCCATTGCCAATTGCAAAAACCCTCCTTTTTTCCTAAAAAAATGAACTGTGTGTTATGGTTGGGGTTGAAAATCAAAGGAATTACAAAAGTTCTGGGTTAAGGACTAGACAAATAGCATTCCCCAATGCCGGGGACAACCAATTTCGTTTGGCAGGCAAGTTATTTGATGACTAGTACCTGCCTGCGGACAAGTGTTTTTCCAGTTAACAAAAAATCATATACTCAAATGTTGTTTTGTTTTACTGCTGTTAAAATATGAATCACAGCAGAGTATCTGTTTTCAATGCAGTTGATCATTACATCGAACACTTGGTAGAAACTCCTCTAGAATTGCCCATTCAAGACAGAAGTAGAACACGGCAGGTATCAATATCATGTCAAAAAAGTTGAAGAGGGTTTTGGACCTTTCTTTTGTCAAAATGTAAAGTTCATGCCGTGAATACACAATACAAACACATGTTGCTGTTATTAAATTGGAGGTATTGACTGGCGAACACTCACAGTCATGAAGTTGAACTCTTAATCGACATTAAGGAGTGTTTTTCATAATAGAATAAGTCGCGGAGTAAGGAATCCCACTGTGGGATGTGGAGACGGGTCCTTCGGATGAGACTGTATGAACTGAGGTCCCGTGTTGCAGAAGGTGCTGGCACGAAAAAGATCCCTCACTGCTCAATGGCCCTGAGTGCTGAGTATAGGTCAAAATTTGCAGCTCTCCACCGGCAAGTGGTGGCGTCTCCATATGAGTGAAAAATTCTCGAGTGGGACGTTTAACGATAAACAAACAAACAAAAAACATAACACCATAATGTAGATACAGATGTATTATTGTCATTTGAAAAATACAGAGGAATATATAAGTACATGTTTATGAATATACATTGACATGTCTATGTATTTAAAATTTTAAGTTTAATGATCAATGCACAGTGCAGATTCTAGGAAGTTTCCCTACGATTAGAATTTTTCCCTTTAATTTCTCCATGGGAGAGTTAGTGATTTTGGGTCAAGGTTGGTCCTAACAAACATTATTTGGCACATTTTATTTGCTGCACTGATTTTGTTCATTTTCATCATTGTTACTTTAAACCGAAGCATAGTCTAATAAGCAACACAGCATATTATAAAAAAAAAAAAAAAAAAAAAAAAAGCAGATCAAAGAATAAAAAAAATTAAGACACTAGAAATATCAAATTATAAAATGCATGCTACAATTTTTTGTTAATAATTCAATGCTGAAAGTTGACTTTGTTGTTTCCTTAAAATTCCTGTATCTTCTTAGGTTTTGAATTGATCAAAGAACTCTAAATCCCTTAATTGGCATCATGCATATGACAAGGTTTAATCTGAATAGTAATGCACATTTGTTTACAACCACTGTACAGCTGTACAAGTAAATGACATGGCCTATTTACATCATGTGTTAAAATGAAAACATTTAGTTCATGTTTGTTTACAAACATTTTGCTGAGACCCTATATTTACATACATTAAAACACAAATTAATTTTTTATTTAAATTTTCAAATATTCATATTTTTAGCATGTTTAGTCTGCATCGCCCTGGAAATATATTTTTAGTCAAAAATAATGAATATAAATGATTGTTATTTACTAGCCTACAGCAAACATTTCAATCCCACAAAAACACACAACAGTATCCTAAGTGTATATCAGATAACCAACCACCTCCTTGTAAACCAAAATTAACGGTCAGAAAATTTAAACACCAGCCACCGTCCCACTCCAACCCCCCAAACCTCCATTCATGTATTCATTTGTATACAATAAACAGGTCATACAGAAAATTGTGAGAAATTTTTGAATGATTGAACAAAACCTTTCTATTGCTCGTGCATATATTAAAGTTACAAGGTATATTTAGAAGTAATGTAATCCATGTAAATAATCACACTAGAATTTCATTCATGTTTACATGAACTTTATCAATATGTTTATCCATAGCATATATCATCTTTTTATGATCCAGGTGAAAGTTAATTATGGACAGTATTTCATGACAATACATAATGGACAAACAGATAAAGTATACCCATGCAGTGTTACATTTAAAAACTTCTTATGTAATAAATTATTAGGAAAAACAGTATCGTGCTTAATAAGTAAGGCATTTTTAGAGATCCACGTAAATTCTTTGAAAATTGATCATAAGACTTAACCATCTAAAAATAAATGTTCCAACGAAGTAACAGTTTCTCTGCCATTTTAATCAGAGGGACAGATTTTTCCTGCTCTTTACTTTCCAGCAACTCCCTGTGTTTTTTGCTGATGGAAGTCTGTAGTTTTGCTAATGCACGCTCGTATGATTGTTTAAATGATTTATCATTTTTCAGGAGTCTTCTGTACTTGATGAATTCGGCCAATACTGGGTCATTGCTAGGCAGGAGGGCTTTCACCATGTAGACTGTAGATTCTGTATCTAAGGTAAACAAAATATCCTGTGAGCATTTACTGTCTATCAACAGTACACTTGATTTAAATTAAAAATTCAAAAACTTCATTATTCAACAAGATCACAAAAGTATAGTAGATACCTGGTCCCTCTGTAAAAAGCCTACGCCTACATGGTTTTTTCTCATTGGAACAATCTGGAGAATATCAAAAACATTATAAACCATTCTCACAATGTCTGTGATAATTCTATGTTCAGGGTTGCATAATTATATTCAGGCTTTCTCCTCTTACTTGGCCATTCCGACAAATAACTGAAATTTTCTTGTTCCAACAAAATTTTTACTTGTCCAAAAAATTTTTTCAAAGTCGTAAAGGTTGCCTACGTGGCACAGTGGTTAGAGCTTCTGCTCGAGAGTTGTGGAGTAAGGACCTGATCCTTACATCATGGGTTTGAATCCACCGCGGGATGTGGAGACCAGTCCTTTGGATGAGACTGTATAAACGAAATAAGTGTTGGCACGAAAAAGATCCCTCACTGCTCAAAGGCCCTGAGTGTCAAGTATAGGTATAAATTTGCAGCCCTCCACCAGGAAGTGGAGATGTCTCCATATGAGTGAAAAATTCTTGAGAGGGATGTAAAACAACAAACATACAAAATAAAGTTATAAAGACTGAAAGACATTTGAAACATAAATCTTTAATACATGTACCATTGCAAAAACAGATGAAAAAGTGCATTTTTTGTCTTCAATCTAAGAATAACAAATATGCACATGTATACACAGTGCTATTTATTATGTTTTTAAATTTATTTATATTTACCTGCATTACAGCTCACAACTGATGCTAATTCTCGTAATCGCTTGTTCTGCAATGGCTGCCCTTTTTCAACACAAACCCCTGAAGGTAATTTTACACCTGCAAATTCCAGAACTAAAAATTAGTATCATAGTGTTGTAATGATTTTTGCTAAAAATCATAAAATTGTAATTAAAGAGTGAACATGCCAACTATCAGTAGCTAATATATGCCTTTTATTTATTGTTAAGACATATTTTCAGAAACATTCCTTTGGAAAAAGCAAGTCTAACATAGAGAGAAAACAGAATGGCATCAGGTACTAGTTATTCTGTTTTTTGTTAAGGAAGATAAAAACACTGGAATAAATCAGAGAAAATATATTAAGAACTTCAACAGTTTACAATTTACATAAATTGTTTTTTAAATATTTTTTTATTATTATTATTTCTTTTGATAGTCAGTTGCTATGGTGCCTCTTATTTCTTCATTGACCCATTATATGATTTTGATAAGATTTATACAAGCAACATTAATACTTATAAGGTTTTGTTAGTGACTACCCACATTTCATGTATTCAGTGATTTTTTTTTTGTTTTTAAACCACCACCCCCTCCTTTTGAATTGGGAAAAAATTAGCGACATTTTCTTTAAATTGGGAAAAATCATTTATAGTAAATTAGAATGCTAAAAAATACATAAAGTAATCAAACTAAGTAACAACAACAGATTTTGTTTGATTTAAACTTTGAATTTGATTTAAATTCAAATAATAATAATTTAAAAATATTAACATCAATATTCTATTGAATGTGAACATGGCTTATATTAGTCACATCTTGTAGCTTCTATTTTCTTGGAATTGCTTTATCTAATTTCATTAAAAAAAACAACAAAAACAGCATTTAGACTCATAATCTAGTAAACTGTCTTATATGGATAATCAAGTAAACAGTCTACTGTTTGTTTTTTCCTGATTTTAGTGAAACCCTATGTGTTGTCAATTTCCTGTTATTAGCCTGACCCTCTGTGTAATAATGGCGGTCAAACCAAAATCATTATGTCAACATGCAATATCACTTGTATCTGGGAACTATTGACCAATTCATTGAGAATATTATAAGCTACTTATCTGCTTGTATGGATATCTACATTGTTTTACACATTCATTAATATGCATGGATTTGAAGTATAAAAACGTATTTACTCTAGTGTCAGCAAATTTAGCAACTTTTGTTCAAAATTAAAACATAATTTTCGTAAGTTTGAAATTGGGAAAAATATACTAATAATTGGGAAAAAATAGCTAATTTTTGTGAGGGGAAACAGACGAATATCGGTGGCATTTTGACCCCAAAAAAAATCACTGGTATTGGGTTTATCAATCTTAGAGATGGCTCTGCTTTTATTTTTTCCAATAACTAGTAACAGATAACAAACCCAAGGATCATGTGCATTAATTGTCTTAAAATATTTTTATTTTAACTTGATATGTATTAAAGAGCACTTTCTTTGAACAGTTTTGAAAATCTTGTTTGCATTAAGACATGAGTATAATGTTAAATTGTATGAGTAATGTCAAGATGATTTTCCTGTTGTTTACTTTAATCATTCTTTTATTTGTTTATTGTGTGCTTTTAGCTTTACCTGTATCTTGTCCACCACCATTGTTTGACTGTGACATTAGGGAACCCGCCGAATTTCCTATTCCTTTTGAGTCAACATTGTTTACTAGGTAAAATTTAAAGATAAAATATAGTAAAAAAGGGTTTCTGTAAGCATAGGAGCCTTGTTAGCTTTGCTGGTACTGATATTAATGTTACTCCTTAAATTTTGCCATTTATTTTGATTTTTAGACTTACCTGTGACTTTTTCACCTTCATGTGACTTATGGAAACCCCCCTGACTTCTCAACATCTTTGTGTTCTTTATCCAGATAAACTGAAGAATAAAAAAAAAACTCTAGAAAAGAAAATTGTATGTTTTTAGCAAAGAGGAAAAAGCAAAGTCTTGGTACCATTAAGATTACAATTTTCAGTGTAAGAAGTACCTTTGTCTTGTTCAAAGTAATCGTTATGTGATATAGGGATACCCTTTGATTTCCAAATGCCTTCTTTGCCTATCTCATCTTGGTAAAATTAATAGAAACTCATTAATTGAATGTCTTTTTAAACAATTGATAAAAATTTTTGGTAGGAAAGTACATATACAGTTAACCTTGGTTATGAGGAAGCACAGAATCTTCAAATTTTGCTTCCCTTAAACGGAGATTCTTTATATATATATATTTTTTTTTATAAAGAACATAGTGTTATTCTTTGCCAAGATTCATATATGTGTTTTCCTATTATCAAGTGCTTCTCTTATAAGTGATTTCTTTATAATGGAGAGTTACTATACCTATAAGTTGTAACATGCCTGAAGACTTCTGAATTATTTTTTTTCTACAAATACCTAAGGGTTGTTCACTGTCTTCTTCATCTTGTGACCTGTACAAGCCTTTAAACTTTCCCAGGCTTTTCTTGTGTACCTCATCTGAAAGAAAGTTTAAGAATAACACTCATTGATAACTATTCTTATCAGAGGATAAATGAAATATATCTTGATACTTGTGTCTATGCTCTGGTTCTGATTGTAAATTTGTATATTTGTAGAAATACCTGTCTCTTGTCCAATGCCATCACCATCATCACCACCATGACCATCACCAACATCATGACCATCACCGACATCATGACCAACACCAACATCATGACCATCACCGACATCATGACCAACACCAACATCATCATCACCCTCATGACCAGCACCATGACCACCATGACCACCAACACCATCATCACCATGACCACCAACACCATCACCACCAACACCATCATCACCATGACCACCAACACCATCACCACCACCACCATCACCACCAACACCATCACCACCATGACCACCAACACCATCATCACCATGACCACCAACACCATCACCACCACCACCATGACCACCAACACCATCACCACCATGACCACCAACACCATGACCACCAACACCATCACCACCATGACCACCAACACCATCACCACCATGACCACCAACACCATCACCACCAACACCATCACCACCATCACCACCAACACCATCACTACCATCACCACCAACACCATTACCACCATGACCATGACTTCCATAACCAAGTCCATCTACATGCCCATCATCACCACCATCATTACCATGTTCATCATCACAATCACTTGTCATTCGGGTAATCTGTGACTTTTCTGCAATAGATTTGATTATAAAATATAATGATGATAACCTGACAAGAAAAATCTGAAAGCTAAACTGGAATCACAAAGTATGCGTGTCCGTCTGACCATCTATCTATAGACATATCATCACTGGTGTTTATCCATTGAAAGTGTCAATGTATAGAACATTTTATAAATACAGTTTTGTTTAAAACATAATAATCTTATCATCAAGGTAAAATACATGTTGAATCCTTTAAATTATCTCAAGCCTTTCTTGTGTACTTCATCTGGGAGAAAGTTTTAAAATAACACTCATCGATAAATATTCTTATCAGACAATACATGAAATATATTTTGGTAATCTAGTCTATGTTTAGGTTCTGATTGTAAATTTGCATATTTGTAGAAATACCTTTCTCTTGTCCAATGCCATCATCATCATCACCACCATCATCACCATGCCTTTGACCACCATTATCGTCACCATCATCATCACCAAGTCCATCATCACCACCATCATCACCATGCCCATCATCACCGTCATAATTTGTCATTTGGGTAATCTGTGACTTTACAGATTCTGCATTACATAAGATTAGGCAATCTTTAAAATAATGTCTGTTTGCCCTCTCCCAACTCAGGGTAAGAAATTGGGTCAGTAAGTAGGTGAGAAAATTTTTTTCCCCTAGAAGACTTAAACATACATATGGACAGGATGAACAAATCCAGGAATAAAAAAAATATATATCGTTTCCTAGAGGTAAAAAATAGTTCTAAGTCAAGTCGTCTTTAGTCAGTCGGTTGGGAGAGGGCAAACAAACAATTTTTTAAGAATGGCCTTGTAAGATATATGATGATAATCTGACAAGGAACCTATCTGTACTGGTATTTAACTATTTAATTGATATGTTAATTTATAGGAGATATTAATTGAAACACCTGATAATCATTCTCAAGAAAGTGAAAGAGATATTTAAGTTAATTTTTGTTTTATTTTTTTCGCTCATCTGAGCAGAAGGTTTAAGTTAGCTTATAGGATCAATATTTGTCTGTTGTCGGCATTGTCATTGTAAGCTTTTGAAATTTTCAGCTTCTTCTCCAGAACCATAGGGCCAATTTCAAAATTCAAAATTACCCAAGAAAAAGCCACATCCTCTTTCAAGGGGAGATAATTAAGATTATTAAGATTATATGTTCTAAATTTTGCATGTTCTAAATTTTGCACATGTATATTTAGAAAAAAAAATCTGTTGATGAAAAGCAAAAGGCCAAAGTGACTCAGGTAGGCTCTGTGTCCTATTGGTCTTTTGTTGAATTTTCAAATGTTTTTAATTTAATACCTCTGGTTTGTACATTTCCATTTTCATCTTGAGACCTGTGGGAGCCTTCAGATTTTCCTAAGCCTTTCTTTTGTACTTCATTTAGGGAGACTATTTTGAAAAATTACTCACATATAAATAAGATGATAAATGAAATACATGTATATCTTGATACTTGTGTCTATGCTCTGGTTCTGATTGTAAATTTGCTTATTTGTAGAAATACCTGTCTCTTGTCCAATGCCATCACCATCATCACCACCATGACCATCACCAACACCGTGACCAACACCATCATCTCCACCATGACCATTACCAACACCATCACTAACACTATGACCATCACCAACATCACAAACACCATGACCAACACCATCATCACCAACACCATCATCACCAATACCATCATGACCATCACCACCAGCATGACCATCACCGACACCATGACCATCACCATCATCCCCAACACCATCATCACCATCATCACTATCACCACCAGCATGACCATCACCATCATCACCATGACCATCACCACCATCATTACCATCATCATGTGTCAATCTGGTACTTTGTGACTTTTTAGATCCTTAAACAGATAAGATTTCAAAATATAATGATAATAACCTGACAAGTAATGTCTCGGGGCATAAGTGGAATCAGAAAGTCTGTCTGTCTGACCATCTACCTATGTCTATATACATATCAGTGATGTTTATCTCAAGGGTACACATGAACAGATCTTAACAAACTTATTTCACAGCATCCTTGGGTAAAGAGGAGTTTAAATTGTTAAAATGAAGGGTCAAGCCCCATTCCAAGGGGAGATAATCAAGAAAAGACAAAAGTAGGGTGAGGTCATTAAAAAGCTTCTTCTCAAGAACCACGGGCCAGAAAAGCTGAAATTATGTGGAAGCATCCTTGGGTGGTGTAGATACTAAATTGTTCAAATCCTGAACCCTGGAAGTAGTTTAGGGCCACATTAGGTTTTACAAAAGGGGAAATATAGTGAAGAACAGCATGGCCAGAGTTACTCAGGTGAGTGTTGTGGCCCATGGGTCTCTTGTTTAAAGGATGTCCTCAAATGAGTTGCCTGGGGGGGGGGGGGGTAATTAGTCCTATCAGTGACAGTTCTAGTTGCTAATGCTTTAATTTGTAAGTCATATTGTGACCACAAAGTTATCCTAGTCTAGATAAATGTATATGTCACACATAATGTGACAGAATAAAACAAAATTACAATTGTCAAGAATAAAATTGTAGGTATCACTTAAATCTGACACCTTTTCACAATTTTGGAGCTCTCATGATGACTTAATTGATACATAATATTATACTTATGATATATCCACACGTAAAAGTACAAAATACAAGTTAATGAATAATAAAGTATGCATATTAATTGTAGGAATACCTGTGTTGCTGGCCTTGTTTGCTGTAGAACCTATCAACTGCTGGGGTGTATGTGATGCCTTCATGACAGATAATCTATTGTACTCTTCCACCGCTCTAATGAAATCTGAAGAAAGGAGGATTTGCTAAATGTGTATTCATTTATGTGTCATTTTTAAGAACAGCTGATAAATTTTGGAGAAAAGGACAAAACTTTAGTTAATGATTTTTGGTCATGTTAATATTTTTAACATTTTAAGGAAATTTTGAAAATTTGAATTTAGTATTTATGATGATAATTTTGATAACAATCTTTTGACATACCATCATTTTTCACAATTCTGCAAAGTTTTCCCTCTTGAAAAATTCTAATCTTGCAGAGTGGCAGTCTGAGAGCAGAATCTTCATATTGCTGAATGCACTTTTGCCATTCCCCCTCTAATACTCTTTCTTGATCTTTTCCTGTCATGGAACGGAAGTGACTAAGAGGTGGATAACTTTGAAAGTCTTGCTCGTCTGGACCATCATGAAACATTATGCCATCACTGCAGATAGACCACCAAGTGCTCTCACCACAACTCAGGAAATCAGAGATCCTTTGGCAGTGGGTTTGAAATAAGGTTGGTCTTTTTTGTAGGAAATCCATATCAAATAAGGTGTTCCCTGTCTTTGGAAGACGTTTGGCTTGGTGACTGATGATCGAGTCTTGATGTTTAACATAATCTTTTTTGTTTTCATTCAGCTGTTGTGCATTGTACCTGAGAACTGCATTGTCTATGATTTTACCACATTGTCTGTTAGCTGTGTTGAGAGAGATGTTTCGTAGATCCCCAAATGATCTTTCCTCTTGTTCTGGAATCAGGGAGCGCAGACAAATTAATCTGAAAGTTTCTGGGGTGTGAACTGTTAGGCTGTGGAAATGTGAGCCATAGAATTTTCTGGTAGTCATCTTCTTTGGTATGCTGATAACTGTCCTTGAAAGAATGCTGAATTTGAAGCAGAGATTATACAATCTTAGAATTTTCTTGGTTGTTCTTTGTTGATATGGACTATAGCAGATGGATATTATCTCTACTAAACAGGTGCACAGTTCATAAATATCCTTACTAATTTTATTCTCTGAGAACTTTGAGTGTGAAAACATTGCCAACTTCACTGCAAAAAGACGGGCATCAGATCCTTTCAGCTGATTTTTGTCTCCGATGGTGGTAACTGAAAACTGTTCATAATCTTTCTTTGTGTCAGCATCATCAATATGGTGGGGAAGCTCTGTAATTAGGTTCTGCACGATATTCGTAATGTCATGGAGGGGTTCAGCTGGTGGTACTTCGTAAGTTTGGAGTAGGTCTGACACATCTTGACTTGTTGTGAAGAAGGCTGGTGGTCTCTGAATCCCTCTGAGTGTTCTTACCAGCTCTTCCTGCAGTTCACCCTTGCTCTTGTTTACTGTATCACACCCTCTAGCATTGAGTTCTCTTACAATTTCTATTTTTTTTTAAATTGGCAAATGGTGATGGTCTTGTTAAGGAAAACTGTTTCCATAACACTCCTTTTCTAAGAATCTCCACTCTTTCCTGAAGTGTTGGAGCTTTACTATTGAACGCACACTCTAGATTCATGTGGTCCTTTGAACAAATGCCACATAAACAACTGAAATTTCCTCCCCTCTGGTGACCAGCTTCAAACTGTCTGGCGGGGCCGTCTCCACTGAAGTATCTTAAAATGTACCGGACGTCACCATCCTGGTTCCGAAGACTCGAGAGGTCATCAACCCTTGCTGGCATGTAGGAAAGCTGGTCAACATCACTGCTAGAAGACTGCCCAAGTACGTAGAGAAATGGCTTTTCTACCATTGCTTGAACATCAGCTGGTGGACGCTCTGGGTACTTCCTCTTGTATTCTTCATCTGTGATGAAGGAGGCAGAGTCGTAAAGTGTGCTTACCATGATGGTGATATAGCTGTGGTTAAGAATATCAGAGTGATCATGCCAGATCTTCAGGTGCCTTGTTTTGCTTTCATCAGTGTCTGTTTCTCTTTGGTATTCCCTGTGAATTTCTGCCATCTGTTCTATGATCTTTTTTAGGGGAATCATTCTCCCATATACAGTGTAATCAACAGTGGCGAGGGTACCTGATGTATCGATTTTGTTTGATTTGAAAGCTTTTGGGGCAATCTGTTCTCCAATGTAGAGGTCTTTGTTTTCTAGTTTTTGGTGTACTACTTCTCTTAATTTTCTGGCTGGTTTTGGTGTTGGAATAGAAATAAATTTGTAAATTTTCTGTCGTGATCTTCTTACCCTTTGAACAAAGTCTCTACCACTTACACGCTGATATTGATTAAATTTATCTGTGTTTACACCATTTTGACAAGCAAATGTTTGTAAAACTTGGCCAGCATTTTTTGGAACAAGACCTTTTTTGTTTTTTACATGAAATTTAAACGCTAGGTAGCGCCAGATAACCCGTGATCCTGATGGAAGATTCTGCATATATTTTAAAAAGCCATCTCTGTCGAACGTGTAGTTGTCCATGTTTCCCACATGTTTTTTTGCCTTTTCTAAGCCTTCTTTAATTTTTTTTGACACACGGACAGTTCTCTCCCTTGCTGAATTTGTGGCTTCAAAAAATGTGGACAATCTATCCCTATCAACTTGACTGTAAGACTTCCCTGACGCAAGAAAATTTTGAACCTCACTTTCATTGTTGGTTATGGTTTGGTTTATTTTGTTTGTGTTTTCTTGTGTTTGCTTGATTTTTTGTTTGCGTTTCTGCTCACTAGGCAGTATTTCTGTTAAGTTGTACCTATCAGAAACAACTGATTTCAAGTTTGTTTGAAACTTTTTTTCAAAGATTGGTTCTAAGACATTCAATATTTTGTTGACCCCTGTACTGTTTTTATTTTCAATTTCATTTGCAAGTTCATTAGACATTTGCACGATGTTTTCAGTTGATTCTGTGGCGGACTTGTGAAGTACTGAATAATTTATCAGTTTTGTATTTTCACATGGAGAACAGTCATATATTGTATGACGAAGTTTTTCTTTGTGTGAGAGGGAATCCCATTGTTGCAAAGAAAACTGCACAAGGAAGTCTTTTTTCTGTCCACTTTTGTTACTGTTTTTCCAGTATTTTGGTTGTGTTAAGTAGTTTTGTACGCGTGGTAACTGGCGTACAAATTTATCATAAGGCAAGTGCATCTTGGAATATTTGTTCATAACACTATTATAAAAGCTATATCTAAATGTTGCTGACTTGTTTGAAGACTTAACATTTACAATAGCACTATTATCATTTTCCTTTGATGACCACCATTGAATGCATTCTGGATCTTTTGTACAACGACCAATTATAACTTTCGCAAAGTTACAGAAATTCATGATGACTCTCTCTGTATTGTCAAATACCCCAAATGTTAGAAAATTTCTTTCTTGATCTTCTTACTTACATTTTTTCAATGTTTTTGAATTTAACTATTTCAAGGTCAGCTTCAGGATATTGCACATCTGCCATGATTGTTCTTAAATTAATCTCCAAAAAAATATTTTAAAATTATTTTGATTTTTGAACATTTTCCAAAAGTTGGAAGCATTCATTTATCGAGTTGTTCTTTTTGGGGGGGTTAAAAACACTACCGAAACATTTTTTTATTATGATAATAATTTACTTTTTTTCCCTCTCATCTTCCAAGTGTTGTTTTTCAGCAAAAATATTGATTGAAAAAAAAGATATGATCTGAATTTTGATCACTTTTCTTCATTTTCTTGCAATTTCAGTGACTTTTATTGTCATAGCCTGTACAAGCATTTTGTATAGAGATTAACTTCATTGATTTTTTGTTAATTTTTATATATTTACAAAATTATGCTTAATTGAATAAAAAAATTCCTGGTTCATATCTTTGTCATTTATCTTTGATTATTCATAAAATTTCTTGAATATATGTGACTTGCAGCTTGAGTTTTATGTACACGTATGATTCTTTTATGCAATATGAGTGGTGGATCCAAGGTTTAATTTTACCAGCACTTCCATGAATCGTGCCATATTAAAGCCTTTGGGGATAACAAAGACAACAATTTAACTTTATTTCGTTTATTCATTGAAATACATGAGAAAAAAATCGATGGTCTTTGGTAATAAAGCCTGGAAACGCCCACTAAGGCCCCTTCATAGCAGTGCTTGAAATAATAGAGTTTAGCCAAATCTGCAGTTTCAGTCCTGGTTTTCAACCTGAAAACAAGAATATAAATCATTAAAAAGAGTTTAAACTTTTTTTTATTCCAAAGATATTATGAATACATCTTGGAAACGTGTTCTTTCTTTCTAAAGTCGAATTTTGCGCGCTTTGTTAACTTCAAAATAGTGGAATTATCTGCCCTTGATCTCGATCATCAGTGCGTTTTATATGAGCTCATTTGCATAAACAGCAATCCGAATCTGCTAAAACGTAAAAGTTCAACGATATACCTTATATGTATGGACTTATGCTTTATAAATATGTTGAGGGTATGTATTTCTTTACAAGAAAAGTGCTGGGAGCAACTTGTGCATGTCTTACAACAGCATTTTTTCTTGCAAGTAAATGGTAAATACCATGATTATGTATCGGTCGAAGGTTTTTGAAGTTAAAATAGACTGTGTTCTCGAGGATGCTATACTTGCTCCCAGCACTTTTCAGGTTAAGGAATTCTAGGACTTTTAATTAGTAGTAGACATTATTCTCAACACATGTCGTATATCCTTGAACTTTTGTGTTGAAAGAAGGAAGGTATGTTTTGTCTATTTTTGGTATGTCACGTGATAAACAGCTGACGTCAGTAATGTCCTTGTTGAAAAATGATCCGGAGCACTGTTGTAATTGAACCATATATAGATCCTATTTAAGTAATTTTTTATTGCCTTGAAATGTCGTTTAAAAATTATACCGTTTAGATGCTGCTGATTTTCCTTTGTTTACACATGGACGTCCATAACCTAGCTGCGAAGTTAGAATTAAGCAGTTAAAGCGATCTGCCCTTGGACTTACGATAGACTTAACGTGAATATACAGTTAATACGAGAATTTGTAATAAAAAAAGTATTCTTAACATTAAATAAGACTAGGATAATGTAATTGAATAGAGTATTTTCAATCATTGCCAATATATGTAAACAAGTCAGCAGTGCTTACTGTTCAGTAATGTTCCTCCATTGTTTTTGAACAATTTTCTGGGGAAAAAAGCCGGTATCTTATTTTGAAATTTACTAGTTAAGATGAACACCTCTGTATAATTAAATGTGCTCAAATTCAAAAAAAAAAAAAAAAAAAAAAAAAAAAAAAAAAAAAAAAAAACTCTATGTTGTTTATAACCTACTTAATATATCATAAAACGTGCTACATGTGAACTAATTTCTTTTGTTTTATGTATTACGGTCGTAGGCAACGTACAGAATGTAATTTTCCAATTGATAATTTGCTAAGGTATTCGAAATAAAAAATCATAGTACCATGAGATGTTCTTAGACCAAAAAAAATCGACCAACATAACCAGGAATTTAATTAAAATAAATCTCGGAAATAATGGTGGTCGTCATTAAAAAACAAGAAAGGATGTTTGCACAAAGGAAATAGTGTAAAACTGAGAACTTAATTTGTGGAATTTTGTTCCGTATTTATTCTGAAAACACCCAAGGACAATTTTGTAGAAAGGTTTCAGTTTGTATTAAACTCATTTGGATAATTGATGAGAGACGAGGCACTGACAAACAGACTTTATGAAGTCTGCTTGTTAAGGATTAAGGTAAACAGAATCAGCCTGTCATCTATCCAGCATGGTGACATATTTCTGCTCCCTACATGCAAGATAAATAATGTCAACATGGAAAAAAACATATCAGCATGCAAGATAATTATGTCTACATGCAAAAGAATTATCTTAACATGAAAGCTACTAATCTTTTCAGATAATTTGATTCTAAAATGGGAAATTCACTTACAAACGTCAGTATCTCACATCGTACAAGACTAAGATAATGTAATTGAATACAGTATTTTCAATCATTGTCAATGTATGTAAACAAGACAGCAGTGTTTATTGTTCACTAATGTTCCTCCATTGTCTTTGAACAGTTTTCTGGGGAAAAAGGCAGGTATCTTATTTTGAAATTAAATAGTTATTATGAACACTTTTGTATGATTAAATGTTCTCAAATCCCCCCCCCCCCCCCAAAAAAAAAAATATCTATGTTGTTGTTTATAACCTACTTAACATATCCTAAAACGTGTTACCTGTGATCTACTTTCTTCTGTAATATGTATTACGGTCGTAGGCAACATGCAAAATGTAATTTTAAATTGATAATTTGCTATGTTATTCGAAATAAAAAAAATCATAGTACCATGAGATTTCTTCGATAAAAAAAATCGACCAACATTACCTGGAATTTAATTAAGATAAATCGCGGAAGTAATGGTGGTCGTCATTAAAAAAAACAAGAAAGGATGTTTGCATATAGGAAATAGTGTAAAAATGAGAAATTAAATGGGAAAATTAATTATGTAGAATTTTGTTCCGCCTTTATTCTGAAAATACCCAAGGACAATTTTGAAAAAAAAAGGTTTTAGTTTGTATTAGAGCTCATTTGGATAATCGATGATAGACGAGGCACTGGCAAACAGACTTTATGAACTCTGCTTATTAAGGATTAAGGTAAAAAGAATCAGTCTGTCATCTATCCAGCATGATAACATATTTATGCTCCCTATATGCAAGATTAATTATGTCAAAATGCAAGAAAAGCATATCAGCATTCAAGATAATCATGTCTGCATGCAAAAGAATTATCTTAACATGAAAGCTACTAATCTTTTCAGATAATTTGATTCTAAAATGGGAAATTCCCTTACAAACGTCAGTATCTTACATCATACATGCAGAATACAACATAATTATGTTGACATGCGACTTTATTAGGTCAACATACGAGTATAATGTGTTTACATTTAAGATATCTATGTCAATATGTGAGATAATTACTGTATGATGATATGCAACATATTTAAGTCACAATGCAACAAAATTTCGCTTACATGAGACATTTTTAGGTCAACATATAACATTAAGATAAGAAATCGTCATTTTTAGGGGACTCTTGGCATAATTAAGGTGCATATTAACATAATTATCTCACATTTTGACAAAAAAGTTGATGTCAACATTATTATCTTCCTGGTCGAAATAATAATCTTAAATGTTGACATATTGCATGTTAAAATAAATAAATTGCACGACATCGTAATTATGTTGCATCTATGATGTCAGACACTGGCGTTAGTAATTAAATTTAACCACATGAAAAGCAGATTCTCAAAAAAAAATTGTAACCTGCAAGTCAGCATTATTTTCTTGCATGTAAACATCATCTTCGATGTTGACGTACTTTTCCTGCAAGCTGACATAATTTATCTTTTATGTAGGTAGCTGCAGAATTGTACCTCTCCAGAAAAAAATTGACAGACCAGAGAGCTACAGAGCTTTTTAAAGAGAAAAAAATGTGTATTTATTTCG